TGTAAAATAAACATCAGGCATACAAAACATTCGTAAGACAGATCTTCTTTAATACTGTTGCACCGCCTACGACCCGTTTACCAGTAGAAACATCAGCTCAAAAAAACAAGATTCAAAGACTTGTAGCAAGATGTATAAGTTTAAAATTCTCCTACAAAGAGAGTTTTGCAAATATGATTATCATTATAAACTGACCAAATTCAATGTTTTCGGTATGAGCATTCCTGATGTAGGTTAATTCAAAAAAGCGTTTCGGACACAACAAATTTATAAGGTGTTATTTTCAAATTTTTTTAAGAAAGAAGGAGGCTTTTGCTACCTATCAATAGCTTCCAAGAGAAGTAGAAAAGTTTCACCCTGATTTCCAAATTATGTGCCGTCTTTTATTTTCTTCTTCAATAAGCGGCCATCCTGCTGATAGCTGAACCGGCTAGGCTATTTTATTGTGTGTTTCGCTTTCAATTACGACATATGATTTAAAAGATATGTAAGGAAGGGATTTCAAATTATAAAAAAATGTAAATAGAAAAAGATGAAAGCTTTAAGTATCGTTTTACAAACTAGAGTGGAGCAAACAATGCGTTTTCCTTTCGTACCTTTCTATGTTTTTAGAAAAAAAAACCAAAAACCTAGTTTTCTCCAAAATGAACTCAAATTAAAAAAGCAATTATATTCCGATCTTTACCGACTGACAAAATTTCAACCAATAAGAATACGGCTGATTGACTGTGTGATTACATGATTCATTGATAGTTTCATTAACGTCCGATGGCAAATATTGCATGCATAAATGGTACAGGAAATTCACTTTACTCCTAAGTGAGGGGCCTCCACTTTAATTAATTTTTCGAAGCTTTCAAATAATAACGAGGAAGAATATAAATGAAAAAAATATTCATTAAAAAAATTAAAAATTACAGAGAAATCAACAAACATACAAACAAACAAGAAACAACGGCTTTCAAAAACAGACACAAGCTATAAATCTTGGAATATTGCCTGTCGAAATCAGTAATCCCTTAGCAATAGCTTCCAGGAGTAGCAGAAAATTTTCACCTTGATTTCCAAATTATGTGCCGTCTTTTATTTTCTTCTTCAGTAAGCGGTCATCCTGCTGAAGGCTGAACTGTCTAGACTTTTTTATTATGTGTTTAGCTTTCAATTATGTCATATGGTCCAAACGATAGGAATGGGTATCAAATGATTCATGAAACATTAACAATAACATTGCTATACGATGATAGTTTGATTAAAAAGCAAAGCTAATACTAGTTCTACCCGCGAACTAACATACAGATAAATCTGATGCATCAATGACCGTTACAAATAGCATTCTCTGCAAAACAATTTTAAAAAGACTGGAACAGACTAATAGAACAAATAGCCTGCAGTACCCCACTGACTTCTTTAAGAAGTACCTCGTCGAGAGATTCTCGATTCATACACATAACTACAACTCATTTTTTGCTTATATCATCTTTTTGAGTTAAAAAAAAGGAAAAATCGTTTATATGAAAATATAGAATAGGAAAAAAAAGTAAATTAAAAAAAGATGTAAAATATAAATATCGTGTTTCAAACTAAAGCGTCTAAAACCAGGCATTTCGTACCTTCTTAAATATTTACAAGGGGCAAACGATAATCATGACATGTGTTCTCAAAAATGAACTCATTTTAAAAATTAAGAAAAGGTGAAAGATTTTTCAACCAAAAAAAATAAATAAATAAACTGTACTATCAAGTGGGTGGCCTTCACTTGTATTAAGTTTTCTAAGCTTTCAATGACGAGGAAGAAAATAAAAAAACCCATACAAATAAGAAACAATGACTGCAACCATAGACACCAAGGTATGAACGTTACGGTATAAATTTGCCTATCGCAAATTAGGAGCCTCGCCAGTAGTTATCTTTCTTTTTTTAAATCTTTTAAAAAAAGACCCATTGGTGGGCCTTCGGCTGTCTTCTGCTCTTTGGTCGGGTTGTTGTCTCTTTGACACATTCCCCATTTCCATTCTCAATTTTATTTATTTCGCTATTTCGTCCTTTAAAACATAGTGTTGATGCATGACAGATCTTTGATAACCTATGCAATGAAAAATGTATTCAGAAAGATTTTGTAACCTGAGTGAGTAAGATCTAGACATTTAATATAGACACCAGTCGATTACTGAATACCGCATGCATGTTATCTAAATAAAAAGGTCTGAGGGATGTTAAGGAAGCCATTATTACCAAAAAGACACCCATGTCTAAATTAACTAGCTCACTGTAGTAGCGAGGACAATCTGACCATGCTTACCAAAATATATAACCACTTCATCAAACGCGGTTTAATCTCATGGATATTATTGAAGGCTAGCCTAATGAATGTTAACGCCGGCTAGTTTCACACTAGTCATCTTTTATAATGTACAGAAGGAACTGTTGTACCTATATAAGCTCATATTGTACTTTTTTGGTGAAATTGTAGATGACAACCTGTCAAAAGAGAATCCATTTTTTCTGTCTTTTCCCTTTGAATACTCCCCTTTGTCTATGAAAGTAAATTGGAATATAACTGTCCTTGTCTATCCTAGTTCTACGTACAATTATTGTTAAGATTATGTTAAAGGCTTGTAGTTTAATTCTCTGATGATAACACTGTCACTTTTGTGTTATCTTAACACTAAATGTTGGTGCTTGTATGCATTTGAAAAACTACTCGTAGTCATCAATTAGACCGCTGTTTTTTGGGGTTTTTTTCATTTGAATTGTTTTTCATTTTGTCATGTAACTGCGAGGCCTATTATAGCGGACTATACGCGTTTTGCTCATTGTTGAAGGCTGTACAATGACTTATAATTGCATAAATCCTCGTAGTTTGTACTCTGTTGGATAGTTGTCCCAGTGGCAATCATACCACATCTCCTTACTGTAAATTCAAAAAATATTGCGAGGTTTTTATTAATGCAAATAATGCGACTGAATGAGTATCGCAAAATTAAGAACTCGCATTCTAATATCAGATATGAATAACTGTTTGCAGATTTTCCTGAAATCGCAATAATTAATCTCGCATTTTAGTCCATTCTACAAAATTCGCAATAATAAATGCACGCAATGAATTTGCAGTATTTTATTTGTATATTCCGGACACGAAAGTGTAAAAAAAGTGTTTTGACCTTCATGTCAAAGGTCAGTGTCGCACGAAGATAATGATAATATGCCACTCACTGTCTTACGATAATACATCTTCATGCCAAATATCATTAGACAGTGTAAAATAAGGTTTCGGCCCGGACAAGGTTGTATGAAATGTGAACAAAAATTTTGATTTTTCGGAATGTTTTCTTTTTTTTCACAACTGAAATTTTGACGGTCCCTACTGGATACCCTTTATGGAAATACTGGACCCCACTGCTTCATATGTGCACTTAGATTCAAAGTACTCGTTTTGGAAATTAAACGATATGTTCAATTTCAAGCTTCCCAGCTTCATTTCTCTATGCTTTCATGAACGGTAAAGATAATTATAACAATTATTGTATTATTTTATAATACTATATGTATGTCAATGCGAAAACAATAATTGTTAAGTCAGAGAGCGTTTGAAGGAAAAGCTTTCAGATACATGTATAAAAGGATTGTAAGACATCGTTTTTTTGTTGTTGTTATAGAATACAAAAGTAAGAGATAAAGTGTAATTTTTCCGAGTTCTTATAGCAACAATGGTAACACGGTCAACAGGAAACAAGTGGACATTTTGGAAACCACTTTTTATGTTCAGCTTGTGGAATGTCTTCCGTGTCCCAACCAGAGAGTATCCCTCCACACATATAACACTGACAAGTGTCTCTAGTTCCTGAAAATGTAAAAAAAAAAAAAAAAATGAGTTCTGTTTTGTAGCTTAAATGTACATGTATGGATTGTTATTCATTTATTTTTATTGCTGTATAATTATTAGGCCATTCGGGGTTAATTTCTTGTTTTTTTTTATTCGATTGCACAATTTTTGGCTTGGAAAAGGAAGCATCAAAGATTTCTAAATATTTTGCGGACCACTAGTCATTGCCGTTTTCACACGTGCATATAAAAATGAATTTATGAAAACGCTATTGTCCATTTTATAATGTCAGATTTAAAAAAAAAATCTATAATTAAAAAATTATACGGTAAAAATCCACTATTTTATTTATTCATTCGTTACTTTTGTGTTTTCAGAGCAATACAATAGTGAATACAAATTAATTTCGCATGCATTTCTCCTAAAATCAATAGAAATATGAATAAATATGAATCGGTACTAACATTGATTTTGTTTTTGATAACTAAAACTTAACTCAATAAGTATTGCTATACAGTCATGAAAACTTATGGTTCCACATCATGTCGATACTATAAACATATGTCGACAATGCAAAAGGTCATGCTTTTTCTCAGACTATTTATTGCGTATTTATGCTAAATCCGTTGGATTGGTTCTGGTTGATACTTTAAAGGGGATATGATTATTTATTTATTACACGCTATTGTTATTGGTTATGCGCTAATTTTCAGTAGCTGCAAGTACTCTTAGATCAGTTCTTTGCGTCTTTGCATGTCTTCGTGTTAGTTACATGTTTTTGTGTTTCGTGCCAACCAGATGTTCTAAACCATTTCCAACAGATGGTAAAATCCTTCGTTATGGGATTTAAATTGATATACCAACCTTTGTAGTAAAGACCAGTAGCTGCTAAATCGTTTGGTCTCTGTCTCAAGGTTCTCGGCCATGTTTGGTAAGTGGACAATCTGTCACAATATAAGGAATATTGGCTGTTGTGCGGTTTTACACTCTTTTCTGGAGATTTGTTTTCTTTCTTCTGACATGTCTGAACAGAGTTTGAAAATTCAAACCTTCTAACACAGTTTTTGTTCTTAACGCGAACGAGTTCACATTGTCCGAAATGTTTAGAATGTTCACGATGGACATCATCGTCTTTTGTCCAACCACTTAAAATCCCTCCACAAAAAGCACACTGGACCTTGTCCGTGATTCCCATATAGTAGAAGCCATTATCACACAACTTTCCAGGTGACACGAACATATTCGATGGCCAGTTTGTGAATGTGTTCCTCCTTAATTCAACATCTACACGTAATGGGTGTAATCTTTCTAGTGGGTGCTGAGGTACTTCATCGTAGCCCCTTGTTGACAAGGACGGTGACCGCATCACTGACAACATGCTGGCTTTAATTACTTGACTTGAGCTGTACAAAAACAACAATAAATCTAATGTACTAAGAAAAACGTGAAAGGAAAAGACTTAGGATATGGTTTTGTTGAAGTGTACTATTATCATATGTATAACTGGAAAATGATTTATGGTCCTTATACTGATACACCATACGGAATTCCAAAATTACATCAAGAGTTTCACATGTTTTTAAATATCTTGTAAAATATACACGGTTATGTCCCCATCAATCAATGAGCTGTATACAGAAGGGTTTTTTTTTTTGTGAATTTTGTAGTTTTTTTGTAATGTTTGTTTTTGATGTAAATAAAAAAATAATTTTAAAAAAAATGTGTTCTGTTAATTGAATTACCAATTTTAATTTCAATAGTTTTATTATGAAAATGTTTGATTTTGATTTGAAGAAAACACACTGAACAAATTGTTAAATGAAACGAAACTGTACTGAATTGTAAAATCTATTAACAAATTATTTAACAATATTTCATTGTTACATGCATCTCAATTTAAATCTTTTAAGGTCTCTTAACTATATATGAATAAAAGGAAATGTATGGTATACATTAAGGAAACAGCAACTCAACGAAAAAATAACTAAAATGTTTGTAAATGTGTCTTTTTGTTTTAATTTCCTGAATATTGATGAACATGACAATGATGATCAAAGATACCAGGCTAAAATTGTTCTACTAAAGACTCATCAGTGGTGCTCAAATAAAAAAAAGTTAAAAGGCCAAACTAAAGCATTGAGGACCAAAACTTCTGAAAGGTTTCGCCAAATAAAGCTATGGTAATCTATTCCTATAGTAGAAAATCCTTAGTATTTCGAACAATTCTAAGTTTCGTAAACAGTTGATTTATAAATATGACAATACCAATAATAATGCATAAGTGGTTGTAATAAAATAAGTCACGAGAAGTGTTAAGTGACTCACTTTTGTTTCTTTTTGAATCACACAAGTGACATCAGTGGTCAGGTCGGTCACTTAAATTTTTTTCTCTTTTATAAAATTTGTTATATAATAGTTGAACAGTAAAGATAACTAAAAAGTTACCAGGGCGATTTTTCTGTTTAAAGTCCATGAAAATTGAAAATGTTCATCATTTATATCCCATATTGCTACAGTTGGACAAATTATGTATAGCGAAATGTACAGCGTCTTAATATGCAATTTTGTAACAATTGTAGAGGAGATTTTAATATAAGTATACATTTTTAAACTTAGAATGATTAGTTCATTTTGTTCACTACTAGTGTAAATTTTCACTTGAAAGGACACGTTGAAAAGTTAGCTTTTTTATATATGTATATTTCAAGGTTTTGGTCCTTACATGAAAAAAAAACGATTACTCTCATATTTTTAGCTCACCTGGACCAGAGGGCCAAGTGAGCTTTTCTCATCACTTGGCGTCCGTCGTCGTCTGTCGTCATCTGTTAACTTTTACAAAAAGCTTCTCCCCTGAAACTACTGGACCAAAATTTAACCAAACTTGGCCACAATCATAATTGGGGTATCTAGTTTAAAAAATGTGTCCGATGACCCCGCTTGTCAACCAAGATGGCTGACATGGCTAAAAATAGAACATAAGGGGGGGGGGGGGGGGTTAAAATGCAAGTTTTGTCTATTATTTTGAAAACCGTTATGAATAGAGAAAATCTGACAGAGCAGAAATGTTCAGAATGTCTTCTCCTTAAAAGAGATCTACAATTAAGACAACAGCTAGGAAATCGTCCGACGAATTCTTATTGGAGTTATTGCCCTTTAATGACGATGTTTACCATTTTTTTGCGTTGATATTTGATAAAAATTATAATAGATACATAGACACTTTAAATAACAAAAATGATCAGCAAGGCAAGATCTACTAACAAGTCAAATTTTGTTGATATAGTTAGTAGACTGTCACTCTTTATAGGAGTGATTGCCCTTAAATGAGGATTTTTTTTTTACCCTCTTTTGTGTTTTGAGCAAAAACTAAAGAAGACAGAGAGAAACTAAACAGAGGCTAAATGATCAGCTATACAAGATCAACAAAACAGAGATTTTTGTCATGAATTCTATTCTTGTCTACAATTTTGGAGAGTGTCCTTTGTTGAATATGCACATAGACCAAGGTGAGCGACACAGGCTCTTTAGAGCCTTTAGTTAATATTACCAATAACGATTCTTTTTTACAATATGTCAACATCTCATACGCTGGTGTCTATACAAATGTCGTAAATAAATATAACTGAGAAAATATAAAATAACATAAAATTCTCAAAAAATACACCCCACCCCCATTCAAAAAAAACAAAACATAAACAAAAAATAAAACAAGAAAAACATAAAGTGAAATAACAAAAAATACGTACGTCAAGCTACAACACAAGTTTACACTAGGTCCATGCTTTCTATAGACTTACTGAGCTAAAACGAATGCCGTATTCCACGAGTTTGTCATGAACATACAGGAACTATTTGCCACTGGACGTTAAGCAACCAACAATCAACCAATCAATCCACACGTGTGCATTTCATGTCATAAAATTATGTTAAATATATACAGTTAAATCCTTAAAAAAAAACCTTAAATTATAACAAAAATAAGCAAATGTGGCATGATTGCCAATGAAAAAACTATTAATTAAACCATGACCTTTTTCTGTTATGTTATACTTACATTATTCATCAACAACTTCTTGCAATGACAGCGAAGCATAAAGTAAGTTTGAATTTCGAGCTATTTGAATGTTTATAATTTGACATCCAATCAAAAATTGTTATTTGTTATTTGTTATTTGCATTTCTATGGCTATATGTTGTAAACGTAACTCCAAGGCTAATTATAACTTCCTAAAAAGTGAATAAATAATAATTTTAAAATGACAAAATCATAAATACAAATGTTTTATTAGACAACAAAAAAATACTGTTAGAAAAAACATGTTAGAAATAAGAAATCGTACATTGTAATACTATATATATCATATGACATACAAGGAAATAATATAACAAAAAGAGGTCATACTATATATATATATATATAAATTTCCTGCTGTTTAGTAAAAAACCTCCGTGAAAATGAAACTGAATGTACGACATGAAGGACTTCCGAATCTTTGTCAAAATATCAGATTTTAAGATTTTATGAATCGAGAATTTACTCAATGGTGAGTAAAAGAATTTTACGGGGTTTCATTGATTGAACTTCCCCATTGTTTATTTCTAGCTAAAAATAGGTTTCATATAAATGGAATACTTTTTTATGAAGACGTCCTTTTATTCAAAAGATTGGAGAGACTACATTTTATAGATGGCTTAAAAGAAGTGTGTTACAAGATACGTGCCAAAAGTAAGTAATTTGTTTAAAGATACAAATAATCAATGCAAGTTACTGCAATTACCTCCTTCTTCTTTTCTTCGTATGAGCTTCCTATTAAAAGGAACACCCCTTAGCGGGTAATATTAAAATATTCAATAGGGGGAAGAAACAGGGATAAAATATATTACATCAAGGTAAAATCCAATGGTGGTGCGCTATACATTGACAGTGAAATGTAAAAAAAAATCATAGTAGATAAAATATACAATGATATACATAAAAATGATAAAACCAATCTACAGAAGGTCATATAACCCAAATAATTAGTCATTCATTTTACCAGCAGATAGCTTTCTTAAAGTTATATAAAAAAAAAAAAGTACTTGTTACAGAATAGTTGGAACGATATATACAGTAACAATCATTATAGTTCAAAAATTTATCTAATATTTCACTTTTCCATTGTCTATGTTTCATCATCCAATTCTTAATGACAATTGTCAGTCGTCTAGCTTTTTTAGAAGAGATAATCTTTGGTAATGTAGCTTGAAACAGAAGTGTCTTGTAAGCGTTTCCAGTTTATGAATTAACTCTTCTTTGAATCCAAGTTGTTTGATATATTTTGTACAGTCCAGTACAAGTTGCGTAACTGCTAGTTTATTGTTAAACAGCAGTTTCCATGTTCCAGGAGGAGAGTTTTCAGTCACAAGTTGTTTAATGGGAGTGAAGTATTCTTTTCTCTCACTGCCTAGAACAGGACAAGTTGTTAGGACATGTAAGATATCCTCTATTTCCCTGTGGCATAGCAGGCATGTGGGGTGAATTGTATATTGGCTGAACTTGTGTTTGTCGGCTTGCACCATGTAGGTCCCTGTCAGCACCCTTACTTGTGTAGTGGCTTTTCGAATTTCTATCATATTTGACCTACTGAGTCCCATACAGGATGAGTTGATTCTGCAATGCCAAAGTTGAGGTTCAGAAATTTTAAAGATGACATTTGGAGAGCTTTCTCTTTGAGTCTGAGTGTCCAGAAGGATGAGATTTCTGTTTTTAATAATTTCTTCCAAGATAGTTTTGATGGAATTGGAATGTTTTTGTCAAAAATGTCCGGTAGATTGTATTTTGATAGTAATAAGGCAGTTTGAAAGAAGAAGCTATTGTTGTTGTTAAAGTTCACTGCAATTTGTCCGTTAATGATTTCTTTAATTTTATTGTTGGAGCAGGTTGTAAGGGAGTGTAGAAATGTTAATTTCCTCTTGTGAATTTCTGCTTCTACAGGGAGAACTCCAAGAAGTAAGTATACCGCCGGTTTTGCTGTCCTCGTGGCAAGAGCTTGTATTGCACGCAGTGTACCAATATGGAACCTCTCCAAAATCTGAATCTGAGTTTTTGTTAGAGAAAGGATTTCAAGGCCATATAGTAGTCTTGGTAGCACATATGTTCTATATATTGTGTAGGAGATTTTAGGGCTTAGTCCATTTGTACCATGAAGTCCTGAATTCATAAGGGCATATTTTGTTCTTCGAGCAGATTTTACACGGTCTTCTATATTTATTTCATTTTCTTTTTTGCTTGATCTTTTAAGGCCTAAATGGGTAGTTTTATTTGAGAGTTCAATTATATTTTCTAATAAGTTCCAGGTGTTTGTGCTGTGATTCTTTGCAGATCCGTAACAGATGACTTTCGATTTTGTTGGATGGATATTGTAATGGTGTTGATTTGCATATCTTCCAATGGTGTTTAGCATTATTTGTAGTTCTGCTGGGTTAGAGCTTATCAGGGCGATGTCGTCAGCACAGGTAGGCGTTCCACAGTATATATTTCCAAGACTAAATCCTATTGCATTTTTCTCTAATTCTACTAGGAGATCCTCTACAAATATCTTATAAAGATGGGTTGACAATATTCCACCCTGCCTGACTCCTTGGAGTATATTGAAGCTGTCTAAGTTCTCCTTGCCATTTGACTTTAGATGTAATGCCAGAGTATAGATCTTTGATGACAAGCCATAGATCTGGGTGTATATTCCTATCTAGCATTTTGTCGTGGAGTATCAGATGCTGGACTACATCAAAGGCAGATTGGACATCAACAGTAGCCAGATAGAGAGAGTTGTTTTTCCGTTCACATTTGCATTCTGATATAATGAGACTAGCAATTAGTGGACATAGCCCTTCTGTAAATCAAAATTGTAGATCAGTGTTAGGAGTAATACTGAGTTTGCCAAGAATACAGAGTTCATGGAGTTTAGAGATTACAGGGGTTACAGTAATTCCTCTATAGCTGGATACTAGACATTGATTTTTTTCCTTTTTAAGTACTGAAGTTAGAATTCCAGACTTGAATTCAGTTGGGACTGCTCTATTAATGAGTATATTATTAAATATATTTGTGAGCGTCGGAGTGACTGTTTCTTTAGCAAGTTTTAGATGTTCTGCACATAAGCCGTACTCATCTGGGGATTTGCCAGTGTTTAGGTTGTCTATAGCTTTTTGAGATGTCATCTTCTTTGTATGGTTCTATATTTGTTTGTTGGTTATATAGAACTTCTTCCACGAGTCGCTGCCTTATTTGGCATAGTTCAAAATATGAGTTATCAAATTTTGATTCTTTTGGGATACAGAGATCTTCATAGTACTTTGCGAATGCCTTTCTCTGTATAGTATGATTGAATTCTAATTCAACCTCTATGTCTATACCTGTTGAATTTGTTCTAGGTTTGGATCTATTCCTATTGATTAATTTGTAGAATAAGTCTGTGGATGGATTATCCATAATTTGCTGATATAAATTCAATCTATCTTCAGCATGTTCCTTTCTTTGCTGACTGCGGAGATTTTTCTTTTCTGCTTTTAGTTGTTTCCTGAAAGGGTGGTCTGGTTGTTTGCCTTCAAATTTCCATTTTGAGTATAGCTGTTTGCAATTTTTTAGATGTTTTTTGACTCTAGGTGATGCCTTCCATTTTGGACCTTTCAGTTTAATGGGTTTGGTTGGTACTGCTTTGTTTGAGGCTGTAAGTAAGGCTTTTATGATATTTTGGATGCTGTAGGATGGTTTTTGAGTCAATTGCAGCTTTGAAATTTCATTCTGGACAGATTCTATATATAGAGGGAGATCGGTCTGGTCCCATTGAAGCTTATGAACTGTTTATATTTCTTTATTGGCTTTGTTTACACCAGTGGGGATGATAATTTTAGTCGTCACTGATACTGGCACATGAGCTGATACATTTGAAGATGAATTATTCCAGATTGTATACTTTTTAAACAGATTTTCTTGAGAGGAGAAGATAAAATCTATTTGGTGAGCTTGATTGTCCTGAATGGTGGAAGAAGGTTTGTCTGTCAGATTTATCTTTATCAGCAGTAAAGAAACTGGGATCTATTATAGAATTTTATATTAGATCCCAGCTTGAAATAATTTATATTTGCTAGTTTACAATTATGTTATTCATGTTGTTTAGTTTAACGGTTTGGTTGGCTTGCTTGCTTTGTTTGTACAAATGTTTGCTCAAGCATTGTTATTAAGATTGACATCTGCAATCAATAGATAGCTTGTATACATTATACTCTGCTACAAGCTGATGCCCCGCCTACGCCGCATGTTTTAAGGGTATGTATTGCTCATGCATTAGTTTACTCTGAAGTGTTTTGCAAGCGTTGTTTTTATTTTTGACCATTTTTTAAATTGGACTTACGATTTTTGATTGCCCCATTGGTATCTTCCTCTCTTTAAACCAAAGTCACTTAGAGGGATAAAAATAGGCAGTTCTTTTCGATCTTTTCTCTATTTTTATATTTTTGTTAAGTCGGAATTTCCCTGTTCTTTTAAAATCGTGGGTGAATCTAAAATTAGAAAGGAAAGGTGTGTGTGTTCTTAAATCATTTGTTAAGTCATTTCTGTTGGTTTTGACATAAAAGGCTTGTTATCGCTCACCTTATACATATTATTGATTACGCAATTAGGATGGGAACATGTTTTTTTTTATTTTATTTACGCCTGTATTTCATTATTGTGTATAAACACAGTTTTTTTTCTGTTTTAATATCAAGTCTTCTAAACTGACAAGCTATTCGTTTTTTTTAAGCAACAAATGCACCCAGACACATTTTTCGTCAGTCTTCCCTTACTCGTAAATTCAGCATACTTAGAAAAAAGGCAGAAAAAAGAGGTTTTTAATTCTTACATACCTAAGTTTTAACTCTAATTAACTAAGCGATGGTATCAGTGATGATAATTGTTCTGTTCAATACGAATACGAATACGAAAGTTTTATTTTGATTCGGTTCACATATAACAATACAAACATAAGCTCTTAAGAGCTTTTTACCGAATATAAGGTAACACAAACACAACATTAAAACACACAACATGCAGACAGGATATATAACAGCACAGTCATATCGAAATACATGCAAAGCACTTTTGTGTTGTTGTTTTTATAATTTCGTTCCATTTTATAAACACATACATGTATATGTTCATTTTGTAATTGTTGTATTCGATGATAGTCCAATGTCTGGACTTTATTTCAATAAAATTACTTACTTACTTATTTAGTAATACTTACTTATACCCGAAAGTTGTTATAACTCAGGACCTCACATACAAAAATTGTGAAATATGCGTTCCCATATTTTGTTTCATAGAATTTTTGGTTTATTTTCACTCATCCCTTAATTTGATATGAGAGATGGTATGCTCATAAAATTTATTTAAAATGTCAACAAACAGCTTTCATTAAAGATCAATGGTTTATAATTTATGTATACTAAACCAGTCAAAACAGCAATTTTCCTTGACTTTTATAAAATTTAGACACTTAAAATTTCCGGTTTGATGGTGCGACTGTCAATATTGCAACTTTTGGCATTTCGCTCTTTGGCATTTTAGCGCATAAAATTATTAAGATATTTTAGCGACTAAATTTTGGACGATTTAGCGCCAAAATATTGCCAATTTTAGTGCCAGAATTTTAACCCATTTAAGCGAAAGAAAATGATTCCAATTTTTTATGAGATCTTATTATATTCCCTCTAAATTATTGACCATAAACTTGTAATAAGGATGTTTCCTTCTCTTTATCTTAATTGATTTCTTTCACTTAAAATGCTTTGCCGATCCGATCACGGAATCCGTCACATTTTGCACATTTCTTTCTTTCATTGGATCTAACAAACATTTATTTTCAAGTTAAACCAAACCAACTTAAGTATTGTTAATAAAACATAACACTGTTAATATTGAACTAAGTGCTTTTCTGGATTTGTATTCACCAGGAACACTCTAAACATCAAAAGTTGAAAGCTAAGCATGTATAAGAAAAGATATTTTATTTTTCCAATTATGGGCCTCAAAGGGCATAAACATTACAACATCAATAATTTTTCATAATACAATACAAACAATGAGATAAAAAAAAAAGTTTAACGAGAACTATTTAAGTTCTTAAAGAATACGTAGATAAAGAATCTATAGTATGTTTTTTTTAATACTAATGCATTTTATTGCAAGTGTGGTTGATATAGATAACAAACAAGCAGCCCAAAAAGAAAAAAGAAAAATAGATATCCATATATGTAAAGTACACAAAAAGTTGGATCAATTAAACATATAATAATTAGCCAAAAAGAAAGTAGAAATTAAGCATGTCCATGACTCATCCTGTGTCAGCAGCAAATAGGAAAGTATTATGGTTTCCTAAAGGCAGCTGACACCAGGGGGCGATACCTTATGGGCCATGGGCATGTAAAATGTGTGTAAATGCCGGTATAAGTACTTGAATATGTGATTTTATTTACGGAGAATTTTGGAAAAGTATGCAATACTGAAGCAAATACTACTAAGCTCATGATACCTCGGAAAGTTTACGCTGTTTGGGGACTATCGAAAATAAAAGTGAAAGGATTAAACCGAGAATATCCACCCAGACATACTAAACATAAACTGGTTCTCGGCTTACTACTACCCTTTGTTTGAGTGTAGCGTAAATGCAAGCGGATTCCAGTTTATACTAAAAATAGATGTATTTCGCCTAACCCAGACATACTAAAAATAGATGTAGCGGAAAATACCGTTATTTTCTATCGGATTAACCAGAAAAGGGATATATCAAAGCCCATTAAAAGTGATAACTTCACATAAACTTTACAGGTTGAACTAAACGTAAGTATGCAAAATGTCTTATTTTTATATTATTCATGTATATAACAATATAGAAATCAACCCGATTTAATGGAAGGAATAATTAATATATACTTGATATAATAGTAAGTTTAAATGACTTGAAACCATATATTTTCCATTTACAGATTTCTTCTATCAGTGTGGAATCATGGTAACTCTGACACAGCTGCAACCTTCCATCCTCAATAAGAGAGCTTATGACGAGGTACCTCAGCATCCACTCGAAAGACTTCATCAATTGCGTATAAACACAGTTCTACGAAGAAAGACGTTTGTAAACTGGCCCAAATCATCGCCCATTTGTCCGACTGAATTATGCGATAACGGTTTCTACTACATGGGATCAAAGGATAAAGTACAATGCGCTTTCTGTGGAGGAGTATTGAGTGGGTGGTTAGAACATGACAATGTCTTTAGTGAACACGCCAAACATTTTAGATACTGTGAAAAAGTTTCAACCAAATCGAAAACCTGTACGAATAGTTTACCTAAACATTCTGTTTTAAATGATGCCGGACAACAAGCCCAGAAAGCTAACCTTCAACTGCATAATAAACAATACTTAATACATAGTACACGGATTTCAACGTTCCAGTCCTGGCCAAAGTATATAAAACAGGCACCAGAAGATTTAGCATCCACAGGCCTGTATTACAAAGGTATGTATCGAGTTATAAACCTTCAAGATACTATAAAAGCTTTCGGCGGTAAATTACGAAATAATTTCATTGCCTTTTCATTTGACATGGTCTATAAAGTTTGCTTAGCATCCAGTAGTATATACACATTTTAGAATTCGTTTATATCAGTAATTGTTGCACTCTCCACACAAGAAGTCTTCAAAAGTAAATGTATTTGGTAATTATACGTGATTCCTGCATAATATATAATTACCAAATACATTTACTTTTGAAGACTTCTTGTGTGGAGAGTGCAACAATTACTGATATAAACGAATTCTAAAAAACTCCAATGTGTATATACTACTGGATGCTAAGCAAACTTTGACCAACGTTAACATCAACATTTCCAAAAACTTAAAAAAAATTATTAGGTATATTTTATTGCTATAGATTTGCCGTGTACATGATCCTAACTATATATAAATTACTAGTATATACAAAAACAAGAGTTCATTTATTGTAACGTACTCTTTGAAATGATCTCCAAAAAAGGGACAAAAGATACAAAAAGGACATTCAAACTACAAGTAATAAGTCGAAAATAAACTGACAACGATATGGCAATAACGAAAAAGAACAAAAGACAAACAACAGTATATAAAACAGAACATATAAAACTACAGACTGGGCAACACGAACCACACCAAAAACCGGGGGTGATCCCAGGTGCTCCGGAAGGGTAAGCAGATCCTGTTCCACATTTTGCACTTAGAATAACCTGATTAAAATATAGGATTATCACGGTGACTTAGGTGACTCACCACTACCTTATGTACTTCGTGTAGAATAGTTTGACGGTTTTTAAATGCAAAATTCGTGCAAATGGTCAATGGTTTTACTGTCGACATATTTACCAACCTCGGGGGGATATGGTCAATAGTTTTACTGTCGACATATCTACCAACCTCTGGGGGGATATGGTCAATGGTTTTACTGTCGACATTCCAGTCTCAAACCGATGAACATTAAACAGTTTGAAATGCAGTGCATGTTGTATTTACCCTCATGAAACAAATATAAGAATACAGATTGTCACATTAAAGTTAAATCTATAAATGCTTTTCGCCAAAAACGTGGTTTCGAACGAACTGGTTATTAAAAGCAAATAAAGTATGTAGCACGTGGTGACAACAATGATAATCATGAATTTCCGATTCCCCTAAAACCTTTAATTATCAAGACTCAAGATTGCTCACATCATAAGAATCTTATCGAAATAATTTGAATAATGATCTTTTTTCCTTCAGGAACTGGAGATAAATGTCAATGTTACATGTGTGGTGGTATATTGTCAGGTTGGGAGGATGAAGATGTTCCAGAGGATGAGCACAAGAAATGGTTTCCTAAATGTCCACTTTTCCACAAAGAATTGTAATTGAAAAAATAAATAAGCATAGGATCAAACATGAGTCAGTCCTGTTTACAATTTTACATTACGACTTTCTTCTAAACCTTGTGGCCTTCTTCAGTTTTGTTCTTACTTTTGCTCTTAAAAATATATACAGTACATGCAACAAAGGGAGAGAACAAGCAATACTCATAAGTCCAATAAAACAGACAAAACAAGTGACAAAAATATAAACGGCGAAAAGGATAAACAACAATAGCAATACACAACACTAGTCGCAACAAAAACCGTCAGTGAACTCAGGTGCTGCGGTAGGGTTAGTAGTTCCTGCTCATAACTGTGTTTATTCAAAGATATATTAAAAACAAAAATACAAGAACATCATTAAACCCCATTCATGTGCTTTGCATATAAGCAATAGTATTGTCTATGACAGTTGTTTACGTTAAGGTCCAAATGATGTTACCTACAAACTGTGGGTTGGGATGGGTCTACTCTACTCTGCAGTCAAGTATTTGATCTGTTGGTGAAAGTCTGGAAAGAAATGAAATTAATATGGCATCAAAAGGTCTTTATTTCCTAATTATGAGCAACGATCCCGTGTATTGTGCTCACCATATAACATATATTAAACACCTACAGAATTAATCATCTACTTTGCCCAAATTACTCCCATCTTAAAGAAAGATCATGAGTACAAGTGCTCTTAAAAATGACCTCTGGGTGATCATTGCCTTTGACTTTACTATTAACCCTCAATATTTTAAGTATCTTTTGACGAAATACTACCTCCGCTCTTCAGATAGCCACAAATTGATTTTAATTATGGAGAATAGAGAATAGAATTCAAATAAAGAAAGATATTTGTAACATCAAGGCGCGATTTGTACATTTTATCACTCTGTTAAAAGAGACATCAACACCACCAACTCTATCAACACCAATATCAACGAATTTCACATAAAAGACGGTCATGCAAATTTAGAATTCTAAGGTGTATCTGAACAATGTACGAATATTTCCCCGAACACAAATAGTTTTACTAGAAACTGAAACCGCAGACAAAAGCCTGCGGGGTGTTGTATTGGGTTAAATACTATATTAAGAATATTAAAACGACCTGGTAGGCTACATAGCTTACAGCCAAATCAGATTCCTTGTTGGCAACAATATCCGTTACTTGTATATCAGTCCAATATAGAATAGATTAAGACTTCAAGATGACACAAAATGTGCCAACAAAACATGTAACATGTTTTGAGTGGGTCAAAAAAGACCTAATCACTTCTACTATAAACAATGGTGTCACATTCTTGAATCAGATAAAAATGCAAAATGTCTCAAGATTACAATTTAAAAAAATCCTTGAGTGGAACAAACACTTTTAGAATATAAAAAAGACTTAAACAAGGATATCGCTTGTCCTAAGAAATTCCAACCTAAACTTCGTGAAATAAAAACCATGTGAAACACTCATAAGAAGAAAACTTCGTCAATACTGTTGCATCGCCTGGGACCCGGTTTTACAAAAAGAAATAATTTTAAAATTAGCACGAAGATAATCACGTAAGTTTTAAATACTCCTAGTGTTGTGAACACGAATAACACTCTAAACTAGCCCATGCTACAAGAAAGAAAACAGTTTTGACTTCATTAGCTAGTTAGCAGGTGCTTACCCTGTTTGCAAATTGTGTTCTGTTCTTTATTTTAGTGTTTTAACAAGTGGTAATCCTGTTGTAGCTGAACTGTTTATGCTTTTTTTTTTAAATGTGTGTCACTTTACAAAAAAATGTTTGAATGAAAGGCAAGGATAGGGGTTTGTGTACACGTAAAACAGATTTAATTTTTTCTGAAATCACAGGAAAAATAGTCAATATTCAAATATTCTTAGAACAAATTATATGTCAATTGACAAATTCATTAAAATCTCAGATGAGTAGCTTACTTTCATGAAAGATTTTAAAGCTTTCAAATGATATGGAAGAATATTATTAAAACTCTTTTTTTTTATAAAAACTAACAAAAAGCAACAACTTTCACCATCAGACACAACCAATATGAAAATAAGAAGATGTAGTATAATTGCAGATGAGACAACTATCCACCAGAGACCAAATGTCGTAGAAGTTAGCAATGACCAAAACCCATACCACATAGCAAGCTATAAAAGGCCCCGAAATTACAAATGTGAAACAATTCAAACGAGAAATCTAACGGTCTGATTAATGAACAAAACATTAAACGAAAAACAAATATGATACTGGTATATAGCAACAAGCGACAACCACTGAATCACAGGCGCTTGACTTGGGACAAACACGTACTGAACGTCGCGGGGTTAAACATGTTTGCCGGCGTCCATCCATCCTCTAACCTGGGACAGTAGTGCAACGGCACAACGTAAGAACTAACTATAAAAAGCAGTTGAAAAGGGCTTAACGCATCATATCAGATCTATACAAAACAATACAAATCACAAAAACAACTAACAAAAACGCAAAGTACAGATTTGAAGAGAGTACTCGCAGTTACTAAAAGCCAGTTCAATCCAATAACAACTAATACAAAAATCATGTATCTCATAATCTAAGACTAAAATATCAATCAGTTAACATCCAACATCTCAATGGATTTAGTGTAAAGACGTCATTAACAGTCATAGGAAAAAATTACCTTGGGCAATTCCAAAATAATGGTATCGACAGAAAGTAGAACCGTGAATATTCATAGGTGTATAGCAATGCAATGATGTTCAAATGGGTTTAAATTAAATGATAACAACATCAATAGTTTTACCCATAAAATAATATTCAAAGATCTAATTACAGTGTTAAATTAGTGATCTTTTAAAATAATTGTATTTAAAGGATTGATAAGTTTACCCGGATCGTAGCTAAATTAACGGGCTCGGTAAACAATATCACCGTAAATATTAGGATGTGCTATCCCGTTCGTAATAAGTTTTCTACAGGAACAGCCAAACTTCCAAACCAATTATTTGTATCTATGAAAGAATTTAGTAAAGGAAATCTATAATGTCACTACAGACACGGGAATAGCAAACAAGTTTTTACACACACACACACACACATATATATATATATATATATATATATATATATAGAAGTCTATAAAAAGGACCAACCAGCAAATTTACTATGTACCGGATCGTCTAGAATAGACGATACTGTGCAGATAAGGAAAAAATTATATAAGTCTAGAGATTTGCACAACGATACTAATATAAGATGGTATTATACGAAGATGTTGTTAATAAATCGTGTTGACAAATATTTCGGCTTAACAAATAGCCTTCTTCGGTGTCAATTATTTTAACAATACTGATAATATGTATAAAAATAGCTCAATAATACAGGTAAGTTTTGGTCTATTGATTTAATCCAAAATCCTGAACATCATAGATGTAATTTGGATTAAATCAATAGACCAAAACTTACCTGTATTATTGAGCTATTTTTATACATATTATCAGTATTGTTAAGAAATTTGTTTTGCATGCACACGTATAAAAATTGCGGTTTTTATCCAACGCAATCATAGGTTTGAACGTTGATTTCAGTTTAGACTTGTTTATATTTTTTCGTTTGGGCTTGTATTATATTTGCCTTCGGGTTTATATGATCCGTTCATCCTATTTTGACTCCTCAAAATTCAAGAGTCTATCCTAAATTGAGGTAAATTATATGGCCTTCCAAATACCGTTTCGATTCCTAACATCACTGAAGAGACATTAATTGTCGAAATCCGGATATGGTGTACAAAAATCTTTGCACCTTTGTTTGCGGTATACCATCTTTGCCGCAATTTTATTGTTTTCTGTTTGGTATTAAATTTATAATTACATGTAAGATCCATTTATTACACCTTGTGATCCGTTTATTTGGCAATCGCCAATGGCAGTCAGCAGGGTTTAAGAACATTTGTTGTTCGACCTGTTAGTCAAATGCGTTTTGTTAAAATATACTTTTTCACTATTTTGGTCTTTTGGAAAATGTTGTTTGTACTGTATTTAGACCCCTCTAACAAGAAATTTGTTTTACATGCACACGTATAAAAATTGCGGTTTTTATCCAACGCAATCATAGGTTTGAACGTTGTTTTCAATTTAGACATGTTTATATATATATATATATATATATATATACACCGTAAGATGTGGCAAAAGGAACATCAACGTCTTATTGAATGAAATCAACGATATGGAACGAAACATCGTTTCTCAAGGTAACGGTGTGTGTTGTTGAATTTATCAATTAAATGGAGTTTTGACAGGTCTTTGTGAAAAGCTTGAGTATATGTGAATGTCGTAGAACAAGAACCTCGTCAGAGTTGTCCTTCATTAATTTTCGCGCTTTTTCTTGTCCGTTAAAAATTAAGTGATCATGACAGATCTTAAAAAAACAATTTTAAAATTTATTCAGAACGTGTCTACACTCGATTTAAAGCTTGTAATGTGGTATTGGCACTAGTCGATTGATGTATACCGCAAGTTTCCATCTAGATAGAGATGTGCGGTAAGGCTTTGGCACTCTAGATAGAGATGTACAGTAAGGGGGTTGACACTATAGATAGGGATGTACAGTAAGGCTGTGACACTGTAGAAAGAGATGTACGGTAAGGCTTTGACACTTTAGATAGAGATGTACGGTAAGGCTTTGACACTGTAGATAGAGATGTACGGAAAGGCTTTGACACTGTTGAGAGAGATGTACTGTAAGGCTTTGACAGTGTAGATCTAGATGTACGGTAAGGCTTTGACACTCTAGATAGTGATGTACGGTAAGGCTGTGACACTGTATATAGAGATGTACGGTAAGGCTTTGACACTGTAGTAAGAAATGTACGGTTAGGCTGTGACACCTCTAGATAGAGATGTACGGTAAGGCTTTGACACACTAGATATAGATATACGGTAAGGCTGTGACACTGTAGATAGAGATGTACGGTAAGGATTTGACACTCTAGATAGAGATGTACGGTCAGGCTGTGACACTGTAGATAGAGATGTACGGTAAGGCTTTGACACTCTAGATCG